CATTTTGGGAGCCAGAGGGATCTTGATACAAACTGATAGAAAAGATGTTTAATTTTTTTTCTGCACCATTCTAGTTCCTTGTGCTGTTTCCATCCCTGTAGGCTCTTTTCTTTTACCCTGGCTTTGATTATAAGCACCAAAATGGATGGGAAAAGTACTTGAGAATATAATCAAACGAGGCACAGCCAGGAAAAGTTCAGCTCTCTTCACCACTTTAAATAATAGGTTGGGAAGGTTACAGATAGGTGAACAAACCCCAGGAAAGGTCTCAGTTCTTCCATATTTGGACTTATACTCTTGTTTTCCCCTTGTATGCCATTGCAAAGTGTCTCTTCTTTTTATGACATGTCAGGTGAGTATTTCATACTTTATTTTGACAGGTAGAATATTATCAGGATTTTTTTTTTTTTAGTATGATGGTAAGTTCCCTAAGAGCAATTTTGTTTAATATACTGGTGTAGGCTTTTACGGCTGACGTCAATGAAGCTTTTGAGCTGTATGGCGGTGGTCTAGTTTTCTTTTGTCCTGACGTTTCGCCAGCATCTGGCATCTTCAGGACGGCATCTTCAGAGGCAGAGTAAGCGGTATTGTGGTGTACCTCTTGGCAGCTCACAAGCAACTGAACTGGGCCGACTGGGTTCTTGTGTTTGAACCTGGGAAGCTGATCTCTGCTCGGTCCGTGTCACTGGAGTCCTAGAAAGCTGGTTCGTGACTAGTATTGTATTTGACAGTTTTCTCTTTGAATTTTTAATCCAGCCTTTTCCAAATGGGTGCCTTCCAGAAGTGTTGGATTATAAATTGCATAATGAGATATCACTATTTTATACTATTCTATGCATTTCTGTTTATTAATCCAAGTATGCATGCATGAATTATTTTTCAGAGAATTACATCACAACATTCTGAAACATGCACCCACTAAGCAACTTATATATTGATTCAAGAAGAATCAAATTGGTAAAGTATTACTAAAATCTGAACTCCCCAAAATTGTCTTGATTGCTGGGTCATAAGCATTGGAAATACATGTTGTCACAAATTCCAGTAACAAACTAATGGGGAAACAGCTGTCTTAGGTCACACACCTCTTTGTATTTCCCCTAAATTATTTCTCAGTGAAGCCAAATTACAGTTGACGTTTAGAATCCCCGAGCAAGAAATGTAGTCAGAAGTCTTGTCAGTGCACCCTCACCTTTTTGCCTTACAAAAATACATTAGAACAGCAAATTGCAAAAATACAGTGATTTTAGGACTGTATAATATCATTTTGTTAATAAGGAAAAAACAACATAATTACATGCCTTTTAGTGGAATGGCATTTAGATTCAGATTATTTATAGACAAATTGTCAGTGGGCGCTGAGGAATCAGTGTGCTTAAACATGTTTTGCCCAGAAATGGCAGCAGCTGATGTCTGAGTTGATGTGAGGACAATGAGGAATCTTGGGGGCAATATGCCAGCAGAAGATGGTGTGGGGGGGAGAGCTGTTGACATGAAGCCCCCTATGTGTTTGCATGGACATTCTTTACAGAACCCTCCTCCATTTGTAAACCCACAGTTTACACAAACACTTGCCTCTAGTGAGCTTCTGTGCCTAAAGGTGGTGATTTCCAACAGAATAAGCTATCTCCAGTCCCTTGCTCTCCCACTGCATGCCTCTCTCTGAACGGGGGAGAAGTGATGGACTTGGGGGAACAGTAGCTTTGGAGATTGGCTGTCCTAATCTGACCTACATGATCCCCACCAGGTTTTAGGGCACAGTTGGGGCTCAGGGCCAGAGTCCAGGACTTGCAGCACAGGGGGCCCTTAGCTCAAGAAGACTTTCACCCCATGCAACAGACTCTGATAGGAAGAGCAACAAAAAAGTCCAGCTTCAATTCCTGGATTGACAAGGGCACACCAGGCCACAATGGGATCGCTATGAAAAGATATTACACTCAGGAAGCAACAGATAGATAGATAGATAGATAGATAGATAGATAGATAGATAGATAGATAGATAATACTGTAGATGCTCAGGTTTTTTTGCTTTCTATTTAGAATATATTATTTACTACAACCAAATGGTCACACATGACCGTTCAAAAGGATATAAAATGTCCTAGGTTGCTAGAATGTATTGTAAGACTCACTTCTGGCTCTGCCCATTTTTATCTGTTTATACTCACAACTGTTTGATTTCAGATTGTTATTCACTCCCCCCCCCCCGTGCTTAATTGCCTTTCCATTGTAGAGGTTGGTTTTCAGTGATGTCATTGTTCAGTGAGTGAAACTCTGATTTTGTAGACCACGTTGACTAATTCCATGTTTGTTTTTTTAATTTCTTCATTTAATGTTATATCTGTCTCAAGTTCAGTACATGTTGTTATTTTCTGATTCACAGTTATTTAGAATGCCTTCTTTATACCACTCTGGTGGATTAATAAGGAATTAAAAATTACTTCCATCCTTACATAGCGAAACTAAAGCAAAAGTCACAAGGAACCATCAGAGGAATATGTTGGGATGATTTATTCAAATTAATATGCAGATTAGGACCAGTTTTCATTAATGACAGCTTATGAAGTTTTCATTTAAAAGAGATTAATCTAAACCTTTCACAGTCCCAGAGCAATGCTGTCATAGAAGATGCAATTCTCAACTGATCTGCCAAGATTAATGATGGCTTCTGGATCACTTTCTAAGCAACTGCTATGATCAAGTGAAAAAAAGAACAACAAGAAGAAATCATTTGGATCTGGCTAGCCGTAACTCTTGACTCAAAGTCCAACTTTCAGTGCAGAGTATAAATTATGCCCCTTTTGGTCCATTCTGTTGTTCAGAAAAGAAAGGTGATAAGGAGGCTGTTGTTGCTCTGAGACATTAGTGTCATCCCTGATGTGCTTGTGGCCTTGCAAGTCAGTGGGAGTGAAAATATCAGGCTCTTGAGCAAAATGTGGCACCCATAGCAAATTAAAGTAGACAAATTAACTCAAGAATGCAGACAAAACTTTTAAGTTGCAATGGAGAATTTTTTTTCTATGGTCACATATTGATAGCAAGATGGCATTTGATTACTGTACCATCTCCAACATTTGATCAGTACACTATTCCTAATAGCAGAAGAAGAGTAAAAAAGGAGATTTGGTTACCTCAAATTGGCCACACTTATGAAAAGGTGGATAGAAATTGAATCATTTTAGGATTTTATTTTATTTTAATTTATTTTTTACTTTTAATATTCTGTAAGGCAAGAAGGAAACAAGAATGTAAGATAGCAGCCCAGAACAATATATCTCAAAATCCTTATACCACTATAATTTATCAAAAGAAGAAAAATTATTGTTAGCACCAGATCTTCCCAGATCTGATTAAAATGTAATTCATCCATCTGAGAAGTGAGTATTCAAGTTTTATCAGTAGCTTTTTCCATAAGAGCAATTGATCATACCTTAGCACATTAATTGTTCAATGACAGGTTATCTAAAAATGTCCACTTTTGACATCCAGGAATGATTTTAAGAGAAAGAGAAATAGATCTGCTTCATGAAGTTGGTAGGTGATCATTTATTAAATCCTGGTTTGTTGAGTAAGCCATATTTGGCAAGGTTCACATGATTTGCAGACTAAAATAGCTTGCTTCACACAACATGCTAAACCAAATCAAACAGACTGAAATTCAGCTTAGCACAGTGTATGAAATCTAGTCCTAAAGTCAGAAGTCTGGAAAACCTTTCAAACTCTCTGGTTGTTGACAGTCCCTTGGAAATTCATGCAAAAGCTGGCAGCTGTTAGAATACAAGCTTCTAGGGATGGTGGAGGAACCACCTAGATAACAGCTGACACCAAGAAAATGCCTTTTAAATGATTTAATATTAAAAAAAAAAGTGAAGACAATTGTCAGATCATTCAGAGAAATTGCTCTGAAGCTTGGCATTTCACAGGAAAGCATGGGTCACATTATTGATGTTGTTCAGTATCAGAAGGTTAGTACAAAGTGGCTTCTCCACGTGCTGATGTCTGGATGTCTAACTAAAAATCCTGGAATAGAATTAATGATACAAAACAGAGTTTAAATCAGCATTTCAAGAATGAAAGTATAATGTTTTCTTTTTATTAGCAAATGTATAAACTTTAGTGAAATCTGATATCTGGACATCAGTATGATTTAATTACTCATGAATAAAGTATTTTGATAAGAATACTGCTTAATATATACCATAGGAAAGGTATTTGAATTGTACATTAAGAACTTTAGTTCAAAATGTTTTATTAGTTGAGAACTTTTTATTCAGAAGCAAGATTTGTGGGAGAGTTGATCGATACTAGCAGTGAAGTAATGTATTAGAAAAAGGTTTTTAAAAAAGCATTGGCTAAATGAGTTTAGCTCATTTAATAATGCAGCTAATATCCCTTTGCTTCATCTTTTTTTGTCTCCGATAGACTGGCAAGCAGCTATTTACCAGAGAAATCTAGGCATCCTGGTCAAAAGACAGTTTAGTAATTTGATGATAATTCCACATTATACAGTGGTACCTCGGGTTACGAACTTAATTTGTTCCGTGACTCTGGTCGCAGCCTGAATTGGTCTCAACCCGAAGCAAATTTCCCCATTAGGTTCAATGTAATTACCGTTAATCTGTTCTGGCGTGGAGGACAGGGAGGTGGCTATTGCTTGGAGGGAGAGTCCCCCTCCCTACGATCACGTGTCAGGCGGAAAATGGCCGTGGACCACGTGTCGGGGGCGGAAAATGGCCGCGGACCATGTGTCAGGGTGGAAAATGGCCGCGGACCACGTGTCGGGCGGAAAAATGGCCGCAGACCACGTGTCAGGGGCGGAAAAATGGCGGCGGACCACGTGTCAGGGGCGGAAAATGGCCGCGGACCACGCGTCGGGGGCGGAAAATGGCCGCGGACCTTGTCATGGGAGGGAGAATGGTTGCGTATCCTGTTCGTATCCCAAGGCGGAGTTCGCAAATCGAGGCAAAATTTTGCGGCCGGAGCTGGTCATAACCCGAAAAGTTCGTTAACAGAAGCGTTCGTAACCCGAGGTTCCACTGTATTATGCTGACCTATTAATTTTAGTAGTACATAGTTGTATCAGCTATTCCTGCTTTTAGTACAGATAAAAGAAAATGCATTGTGCCTTAGAGCAGTGTTTCTCAACCTTGACAACTTCAAGCATGTTGGCTAGGGAATTCTGGGAGTTGAAGTCCACACATCTTAAAGTTGTCAAGGTTGAGAAACATTGCCTTAGAAAATGGTTTGAAAGGAAGCACTGTGCACCTAAGATTGCAGAAGACACGCTTGATAGTATATTTAAAAAATCTAAACAGTTTTAACTTGGTTACCAAATTACCCCAGTTTCTAGATTCACACAATACAGTGAATCTTAAATGAATGCTAAACCACAAAACAGCCAAGCTTTGGCAGGGACGTCTAGCTCGCCATGGCCTCACCAGAAGCCCCCAATTGTCTTTACTCAGTTCATTGAGCTTTCTCGTCTGAAACCGATCAGTTGCTATCATAGGTTGTCCACTTCACTCTTGAACACACAAATCAGCTCTTCCTGGTTCACCATCTTCACATTTTTTAATCCAATGATGCACAGTACTTAAATCAACAGTTATTACCATAAACAACCTGCATTCGGTGGTGAATTTCAATTGGAGGGATTCCTTTGGCAGTCAAAAATTTAATCACAGCACATTGCTTAATGCGCATTGATGAGTACTCACTGCAAGCTTACATCTCACAAATAATAGAAACACAATATTTTCTGACAGCCACATCTTGTCAGCTGAAGTGAAAGAACAGATGCTAAAGAACCTGTCAGAGCTTGTAGCTCATCCCTTCTGCCATCTGTTGGCAACTTAGAACGTTGGAGACATTATTTTTCATTCAAGCCTTGTAGCATATGGAATCCAAATTTCTAAACAGTCCTCCACATAAGTTTTGAATTTAAAACATCCTGAATTTCTGTGGTGTTTGATCCCTACAGCAGTTAATTTACTTAACTGTTCATAACAATACTTCTTACTAGCAATTCCAAATTCAAATCCTTTTTCTGCACCATTTCCAGACATATATCACATGATGCTGTTTGGTTGCCTTTGGGTGCTGGGGTTGCTGAATGGCAAGCAGTGTCTGCCCTCTGTCCAGTCATTCAAACTCTGTATTTACAAACAATTATTGCAGCTACCCAAAATGTCTGATTCCCTCCTCAGGGGGAAATGGATGCTGTAAAGCAATCTTTAGACTTTCTCCTACCATTCAGGGAAGTGGAGAGAACAGAAGATGACCTGCCCCTTTTTATATGGGGTAGAAAACTGCTGGGGGCAGTAATCTCCCAGGGACCAAATAGGATTGGTGGGCTGGGGCCTTCCCCAAACACCACCTCTGAGAGTCAGTGATCTGGTAATGGATCAAGAGGCTAAATTTCTTCCTTAATCACTAGACTGTTCCTTAAGGGCTGGAGATTTTCCTTTTATGTTTAGTGTGTAAGGGGAAATTAGAACATTCATTGTTTCATCACCATCAATATCATCTCTCACTCTTGGGTTATGACCTTTCTGAGCTATTTGCTGTTTTTATTGACACCATGGCATGACTCCATAGAAAATCCTTACTGGTGAGGTAAACCCACAAATGGAGAATGAACTTCATTCTCTTCCTTATTCTCTTATTTTTATACAAGCCAAGCAAATTATCCCTAGCATGCTCTTTCTGTTGCACCTTTAAGTAACTCTTTGGGACTTCTTATTTTGTAATCCTAGCTTCACAAAATATCCACATTTGAAGTTTTATTGCTTTACAGTCAGTCATTCAATTTATGTTCTCTGTTTTGCAGAAGGAGGAGAAGACAATCTGGTATATCTTCCTTTTTCAAGGTTATGTTGTTTAACTCAAAGCTTCTAGTTTGTTCCTCTCCCTAAATGCAAGATAGATTATTTTCAAGCAACTCTTGTTGGCAAATTATTAACCTTCCCGTTTGATCTACCGGATTGAGTGTATAAAAAGACCTCTGGACTTTCCCAGGAGAACAGAAAGACAGGAGGGTGAGGGAAGAAACCAAGCTCATGGCAGGCAAAGTTTCTGTAAGGGATGTATTCTGGGAGTGAAAAGCAACCTACCACATATCCTTAATCACTAATTTATCCACTTATTTCAAAATATTAATCATTGTTTATACCAGGTGGATTTGGGGCATGGTTTCTGTCTTCAAGAGTTTGCCAATCACTGGCAAAATCTGTCGGTGGCCCAATTCGAGTTTCACCAGTGAGCTATCCTCTCCCAAAATGACTCTCAGGGACCATGGGCTACATTTCTTCCGCAGTGCTGTTGGTACAGTCCTGCCAGGGCCCATGCTGAAAAGGGCCTTGGTGCTAGAATCAGGTGGATGCCCCAGACTTTTGCTGCACGGTCGTCCTTTTGAACTGAGAAGAAATCTATACTTGGTTGGCTTTGGGAAGGCTGTTCTGGGCATGGCAGCGGTGGCTGAGGACATCCTTGGAGACTACCTCACTCAGGGAATAATCAGTGTTCCTCGAGGCATCCAAGAAACTCTGCAACATGCGAGAATGAGGTAAGGAAGAATGCCATATTTTATGGTGATGACATACAAAACCTGGCTTGGGAACCAGCTTCAAGAATGTTTTCTTGAGTCCTTTGTGGCTTGGTATAACTTAAATCTCATTTGTGACAGACTTTCCTACTTTTGTACCAAAAATACCAGTTATTTGAACAGGTTTATGGAGATACTTCCTATTTTCACTTAATACCAAAAGAAGACTGCCCCATGGGAAAAACAGAACCAACTTAACTTGTTTTTTTAGTTGCTCCTTAGCAACTAGAATTTTAGGTGAACAAGAAGTTTTAAACATCCCATGGTCTTTCATGGGATATGAGTTTCAACAGCATAGAGCTCAGCTAATAATTGACCCTTTTTTGAAAAAAAAATGCAGAGAAATGTTGCTGAAGCCACAGAGCCGGATCCAAGTCATGGAAGGAGCTAAGTACAACCTTCCTGATAAAGAAGCTTTGGAGGCAGCCAGAGCCATCTTGAATTTAGCCAAGAGTCTAACAGCAGAAGACCTTCTCCTGGTACTGATTTCAGGTAATGCTTGAGAGCCTAAAAGAGCAGAGAGGCTTTTGTCACCTCCAGTTGCTTTTTTATTCTTCTTTCCCATTGTCTAAACTTGTTATATTTTTGCTCGTTCCACAATCACACTTGGCAAACTAGGTCGAGTGGTCTGCTGTTAAAAAAAGAAAAGCAGACGGAGTGAGAAAGTGACTCAGGGTGGTTTCCAGTGTGACTTAGCTGTGTGCTGATGACTGGCCCTCCGAGCACCCTTGTTGCTCTCCTCGGCCAGCTTGCTTTGGAAACGACGTCCCTGCTGGCCCTGGCAGTCTTCTCTGTCACCTGCTCTTAGCTTTTGCTGATATTCCGCTCCAGGGAAAGGTAGGATCTGCTGCAATGGAAGGAAATGCAATACTAATAGTTCTGCATACATGTTTTATGTAGCTTGCTGAAATAAGTGTTGTCATTTCATATTAGTCAGTTCTCCGCAGCCTCTGCGGTTCACGCAGATGAGTTCCGTGTCTGCGCAATGCCTCGTTTTCGTTTTCTCTCTTTCTCTCTCTGACTCAGCTTTACTGAAAAATAAGAAGTTTGTGTGCTATGGCTCTCATTTTGTATCTATTCTGGAAAAGACGTTCTGTTCTTCTATTGAGCTTTCCAGTCTTATGAAACAGTACTCTAGCTTTTCTTGCCTAGAACACTGCATGATTTTGAAACAGCAAAGCATTTTTTTTTTGTCCGGCAGGTGGCAGTCCTGAATCAGAATATTCTGATTCAGAACAGTGCCAGGCCTAATACTGAGAAATATAGTAAGCCAGAGGGGAGCATGGAATGAATCTAGGGTACCAAGGTGTTGGTAAATTTGTTTGGTCTGAATGGGCTGGAAGAACTTAATAGGGCATTCTGAGTAGTCAAGTTTAGGAGGTATAATTCATAGCATTCTCTGCATTTTGGTGCCCTTGGTCTCCGTTATGCTGGAGCAGTTCTTGTATGGATTGTTCTTTCCCCCATTTTCTTGCTTAACCGTTAACTATTTCTTTTTCCTTGAAGCATAAGCAATAGGATGGCCGCACAGATATGCCCTAAACCAAGGTTCCTCAACCTCAGCAACGTTAAGATGGGTGGACTTCAACTCCCAGAATTCCCCAGCTAGCCAGAATTCCTCCCCCAGCCAGACTTCTGGGAATTGAAGTCTACCTATCTTAACGTTGCTGAGGTTGAGGAACCCTGCCCTAAAGGCAGTCCAGGCAACCCAAACCTTTGCAGAATGTCCCTTTAAGGAAGAAAAAAACTTTACTTGTAAGTATATCCTTTAATAAAGTTAAGGAACTCTTGAGCACGGATGCAAGGCAGCCTACATCAGAATATTATAAAGCTATTAAACAGGAATTTAATTCCCTTTATGAACTTGAAACAGAATATTCATTGAGTTATATAAAGCAAAGATACTGGAAGCAGCTAGTAATTGCACAGTATGATATTATCTCCGCTATAAAGATGCCTAGGGTAAAATATATAATCATTCTGACTCAGTAAACCAACTTAAAAAAATGTTTAGTTTCAGTCATGTAATACTAAGCCATACATAAGAGAGAGAGAAATTAATTACTTTTTCGTAATATAGCTCTTCTAAAGATTACTCATGATCAAGCTGCCTATTTAGCTGCACCTTTATCTAAGAAATAATAGATACCACTAAATCTATGGGAAGAGGAATGGTTCCCAATCTGAATGGATATTCCCCTTGGTGGCATAAGACATCTTGAGCTCTTTGACCTCTCCCGTTGGAGGTATAACAATGCCATTTCCCCCCCAACTTCCTTCACTGAGGCTTGTGTTAACTGAAACTGTGCAATTGATCCTCTAATTTCCCTTTTCAACATTGACGCAAAAATGTTGACAGCGGTCCCAGCCTATAAATGACAGACAGTATTAGTTCTGATTATCCATCCTGCAAATCTAGTTTTATAAAAGGTCACCAAGCATCTGATAATATTAGATTACTAATTTATATTCTGGATATACATTCAGAAAAACTGAAATTGGCATTGATGCTTTTGTTGAATGTGGAAAAGGCCTTTGATGCGATGCAGTGGAAATTTTCGAAAGAGGTCCTGCCTAAATTCAGGTAGTCCTTGATTTATGACCACAATTGGGACTGAAATTTCCGTTGCTAAGCGATGCAGTTATAAAGTGAGACATCACATGACCGCATCACTTAGTGACTGCAATCCCAGCAATTCGCCTTGCTGTTATTAAGCAAATTTACTTAAAAAGGAAGACCCACCCCAATCCAAACCGTTCCAGGCTTGGTCCCTCCCAGCCCAAAGCCTCAGTAAGGTAAGGGACTGCCTCCAACTTCCTTCACCATCTCTGTCCTTTTGGTCGCCCTGCACCCTGCTTTGCGGGGTGGCAAGCAGCTCCAAAACCCTGTGGCTCTGGGGCTGCAAGAAGCCCCTGAGCCACAGCACAAAGCTGCAGCTGCCCTAGCCCAGCCATGTGAAGCCACTCCAGAAAGTGTGTGTTTGCCCAGCTGCCTTCTCTCCCAGTTCCCCACACGGACTGTTCACCTTTTGCACCCAGCCCCTGCAGCCAAAACAGAAGCGCCTCACTCCCTTTGCTATCTCCTTTTCAGACCCAGCTTCTCCAATGAACTTTTCCTACATGTGACTACCTAAGCCTTCAGAAAGTGGCTTCCTTTTGCCCGCTTCGCGCTGCTGGGCAATACTAATACTACTAATAATAGCCCCTTTGCAAACAGTTTCTCCAGTGAACGATTCCTACACGTGGCTCCCTGAGCCAACCCTGGCCCTTTTCCATTGGGCAAAACCGCTTCCTGTCCTCCCCCATTGGCTGGCAGCAGCCAATGGGAAAGGCAGGAAGCAATTTCGCCCAATGGGGAAGGACCCAGAGAGGAACCATTAGCTGGAGAAACTGCTTGCAAAGGGGCTTGCTTTTGCTGGCATGACACAAAGGGCTTCTTGGCGCGAAGGGCCAGGCCGTACACTCCTCGTCAGCAGCGGGAGCGAGAAGATGACAGGGTGAGCTGGGTCGGCTGAGTGCAGCATGGTAGGGGTCTCAGAGCACAGGATGGCGAGGGCGGCTGGGGCTTCCTGGGGCTTCCTGGGGCATGGCAAGCTGCTCCAGAGCTTGCTGCCATGCAAGGCAGGGTGCAGGGCAACCAAAAGAGCAGAGGTTGGGGGGAGATAGGTGGGTGGGGGGAGTTGAAGCGCCCCTGCGGTTGTAAGTGTGGGCAGGCTGCCAAGCACCCAAATTTTGATCACGCGACTGCAGGGACGCTGCAACGGCTGTAACTTTGAGGGCCAGTCATAAGTCACTTTTTTCAGCGCTGTGGTAATTTTGAACGGTCGCTGAACAAATGGTTGTAAGTTGAGGACCACTTGTACGGATTCCCTTTTTCTTTATTAATTGGATTAATATGTGATATTCTAGTTATTTGGGGATGATTATTACAGAAGGAATTATGTCTTCCTCTATCAATATATCTCATGAAACTTGTAAAGTTTATCTCCTATTATGTTTTCTTTGAATTTAGGATTTATTAGAAAAATGGAGGATATCTGGGATATAATAGTGGCTCAAACTGAGCATATACTGTTATTAGGTATCAGTGATATGTCTTATTAATAAATATGTATTTTCTATATACCATTTTTATTGATATAATGCAACAGTTGATCATTTATCAGGTTGTTCAGTTAATTGATGTAAGTTTGATATATTTCCTTTAGGCACTAATGTTTTTATGGAAATTTGTAATTATTGGGGTTTCTGTTGTTGCTTGAATGCTTTAAAATATTTATTTAATAAATAGTAATTATACTATTTTATATAACAGTGAATTACACATTATATAATTTAACAATCATTTATTATTATTTAATAATTATTAAGTATTTGGGAATAGTTAGTCCAAGGAAACTATTCATTTGCAGTTGTAAATATATCATTTTTTAAATCTCAGATAAAAATCAGTGTAAACAGATGGTGAAAATCCCCACGGAGATCATGAGGAAAGAGAAGTGTCATAAAGATTAATATTATTTCAAGATTGAGATACTTATCTAGATATATTTCTATGTTAATAACTTTTCTGTTATCTTAAGCAGATTGATAACATATTGATTTTTTTTTTACGTGAAGGACGACCCCCCCTAGATTTACCACCCAGGGCCACTGGGAGTTGGGTGGCATATAAATTTAATAAATTATTATTATTAATTATTATTATCTAAATTTCAGTAGTCATGAGATGAAGGGTGTGTATGTGTTATTTTCCAGACTTTCAGTTTTATAATTAGCCTTGTATTTTAAGACCAATTCCTCTACAGAATACAAGGGAACAAGTGAAAAGAAACCACTGTTAGAAAGTTATTATGTCACTCCTTTGACCCCGACACAGGGGCTTGATTTTAGCGTAGCTCCATTGTATTTTCAACCTTAATGGCTGCAAAGTACATTTGGGAAGGTGTTGGGATGGAAAGTGAATTTTGACCCTTATTCACGTGGTAAACTTAAGATCTGATAATCTCAGAGTGAAAATTGCAGATAGGGAGTATTAATACTTGAAATCAGGTTGTTGCCAAGCAAATATTTAAACCATTTGAGTTATTGCAAGAAGTCTTTGGATCGCCTAAAATTGCAAAATGACAATGTGGCCAATTAAAGCATTTGTTTATTTCATATTTGGTCCAAATGCATTTGCAATGTCTCTAGATTCCCAAATCGCTACCAGTATTGGCATGTTTTTTAGGATGATTCTGATTCTACTGGGGTTTTTTTTCTAAATAAACCATTAAAGAGTTTCACTAAGGTGGATATTAGTCATTTGCAAGAAGAATTGAACAAAGAATTGAAATATCTCATTAAAAACGAATGGTTAAGAGTTTTAAAGAATAGTAAATATGTTTCTTATGATTTTAATATGAGATTATTTCAGTAAAATATTTTTTTACATCAAATAGTGTTTTAAAATGTTTAGGTATCAGTCAGATGTTGCACATGTAAAATGGGAGAAGGAACACTTACTTGTATGATATGGACTTGATCCACTATTACCCTGTTATGGTTTTATACTCATAAGTCTCTTAATGTGGTGTTAGAAACTTCAATACAATTTAAAGATGTGAATGTCCTTTTGAATTATTACCACCACCACCCCACAAATTGGAACTAATCTCTGTATGAAGAATTATGAATTTAGCAAGCATGAGGGACCACAAAAAAGATTATTCTTCAGTGGTGGAAAGATGGCGTGACCCCAGATTTATAGTTTTGGAGGTTATTGATATGTGTTTCCTTTCTGTTTATGAACTGGATCTCTCCTGATGTAATGGAAAGACTGATAAAAATTAGTCTGTGTGATCAAGATGTAAAGATGAGTTTAAACATTGGTTTGATATGTACCATGATATGTTTTGTTTCCTTTTTCTGTGTGTGTTTTTTTCTTTATTATTTCACCCCCCATTTCCCTTTTCTGTATATTAAAGCAGTAAGAATATTAAAACATGCATGGATTATTGAGCAGCTGAACCTACAGTTTGTGTCACTGTAGGGCACAAAAGTCTAGGTTCTTGTGGGGGCCCAGGCATCATTTCTGGAAGCATTCGCTATTTACCCGGTTGTCAGATAACTGTCATGCAAAACTGATTCATGGTATGGACATGGTTGGATCAGGGACGAGGCTGAGACAAAAGAAGTCTAGAGCAAGGGTCAGCTTGCTAGTGTTTCACTCACAATGCCTTTCCGCTTAAATTGGCACAATTCTGCAAGCTTGGGTAACATGGCCTTTATTCAGTGGCAGTATTGACTATGTGGGAACTTTCAGGCAGATCTTTTAAAAATACATTGACGCGTTCTCCTCACTTACCCTCCTCCACTAGCTGCAAACAACCTTTTTTAGATTTTACATTTTATAAATGTAAGGCATTCCAGATTTGGGAAGTAGCAATTAAGCAGCAATTAATCAGTATTGATACTGATTTTATTTTTATACACATTGTTATCCTATCCTTTAATGCATATGTATCCCTCAGGGCAACTTAAAACACTGGAAATAAGTACAAGAATTACGTTTTGGCAAAGCTTTAAAAATGTACAAAAACATCTAATAGAAATAATGTCTTCTAAAATTGAACCATGCGTTGAATGCCTTCCTAAAATAGAAAGGCTGGTCCTGTTGGCAAAACATTATCCAATAGGGTGACAGTCTAGACTCCTAAGAAGAGGGGTTCCATAGTTTGAGGGCAACCATTGAGAAGGCATTCCCTAAGGCAGTGTTTCTCAACTTTGGCCACTTTAAGATGTGTGGACTTCAACTCCCAGAATTCCCCAGCCAGCCTTGCATCTTAAAGTGGCCAAGGTTGAGAAACACTGCCCTAAGGTATCTTGGACTGTACAAATAATGCTTACAAAATTATTCTTAGCACTTTGAATTGTGCCCCAAAACAAAGAGGTAACTATTGGCAGCCATCACAGGACTAGGGTATAGCGATGCCTGCAGACATCCCACAACATTCTTGCCATTGCCTTTTAGACTAGTTTTCTGAGGACTCTTCAAGGGGGCTTCCAATAGAGCACACTGCAGTAACCCAGCCTAGATATGTCACTGTTGCCAAGACTGACACAGTTAGCTAAAGCCAGGATTTGAGCCTCCAAATACAAAACTAAACCCAGAAGAATCCCCAGACTGCGTAAGTTGCATAAGTTGCATGAATGATTGTTTAGGATCTACAGGTAGTCCCCGGGTTAAGAATGCCCGTTTAAGGACGACCCATAGTTAAGAATGGAGCCTATTGTGGCAAAATTCAAGTTAGACAATGATTCAAGTTAAATGCACAACGGTTCGAGTTCATTAAATAATATTACTTATACAGTATTATACAATAATACTGTTCCGTCTTACATACAAATTCCACTTGAGGACAGACCTTAGGAATGGAACTCGTTCTTAAACTGTTTTTTCCGGGTTGTATTTTGCAAGATCTTGTGCCTCAAACCTCAGCATATTTTGCATTTCATAGCAACTTTTGAACTGACACTGGCATGGAGTTGGCCTCGAGGCCTTTCACAACTCTCTTGATCTTTTCTTTCAATGGGCATTCTGTTGGTTGTGATCCTGCACCCATTGCTCAGGCTGGCTGGCTGGTGCTTGAGATATTTTTCTTTACTGGACTGTCTCTCTGTAATCCATCTATCCCTGACACTTGGCTGAAGCTTTTAGTTGCAGTTCATTTCACTTCTATATTTTGCTTAAACTGGTGCTGTGTTTAGAGCTGCTTTTTGTGCAGCAATAGCATATACTGTAAAATGTGTGTTTGTCTGCGCCTGCAATGTCCACCCTGTTACTCTGTGGCTTTCTTTAGATAAATAGTGAAATCTGAATAGATTTTAGGGTGAAACTTTTGATTTACTAGATCAGTGTTTCTCAACCTTGGCAACTTTAAGGTGCGTGGACTTCAACTCCCAGAATTTCCCAGTCAGCTTGGGAAGTTCCTGCTTCCTGGGGCTGAGAGGGAGGGACTGGCCCAAGGTCACCCAGTTGGCTTTGTGCTCAAGGCAGGACTAGAACTCAGGGTCTCCCGGTTTCTAGTTTGGTGTCTTAACCACTACACCAAACTGGCTCTCTATTTTTAATATACATTGGAGGGGGGAAAAAAAACTTTTAGAGGGAGTTTGTATGTGAATCTCTGTTTTAAGTGCTTGATAGAAAAGTATCTCCAGTTGTCATTCTGCTAAACTGTACAATCGTCTGAAAAAAGGGAGGAGAAAAATTGCTTCCATTGCAAAGGATGGAAAGAGACGAAGAGGAAAATGCAGGCCTTGATATGGCTCTCTTTGGTGCCCGTTGTCTTGCTGATAGAGGCTAGCCTTTGCAAGAAGGAGCCTTGTTGCATAAAAATGTACTCTTCTGCATTTTAGGAGGTGGGTCTGCCCTTTTACCTGCACCTATCCCTCCTGTCACCCTCGAAGAGAAGGGAACCATCACCAGGTTACTTGCTGCAAAAGGAGCCACCATTCAGGAGTTGAATACCATTCGAAAGGCGCTCTCTTTGTTAAAAGGTGGGGGGCTGGCACGGGTGGCTCATCCTGCCCAGGTGAGTTTATTAAAAGCTGTTTTTACCCAATAACTCTTGGTTTGAAAAGGAATGCCAGTTCTAGTTCTCTAGATTCAGTATGGTTGAGAGAGGAATAAATTTTGGTGCAGAAGATCAGAATAATTTTAATCCTCATCAGTGTCAGTGACTTTATATCAGTCAGCTCTGTTGCAGTGATGCTTAAATATCTAAGGAATGTAAGGAAATAGCTGTGATTGATTCTTCACATTTTTTGGTATTCTTGAAGAAATCTTTTAGCTCTAGATTGAACTGAGGAATGTGCATATAAAGTAATACAGTAAATGCAAATTAATACGCCCAGAGTGAATTGGGCAACAACAATGATTTGTCTATCAAAAAATCATTGCAACACATGCTAATTTTGTATAAATCAGGAAGATCCCTGTTTTAATACATTAGCTTTCATCCAAAGCCCTTTCCAGAAGTTCTTGCATACTTTTACTTTCCTTTGCATGACCATAAGGTCATGCTCAGAGGTTTTTTCAAAAATGGAAAGTGATAAATTCCAGTCTTTGAAGTGAATAGATTATTTGAGCAGGGGAGCTAAAATTCTGTGCTAAAAATCCCAAAGCATTCCATCAAAAATCCTGATTATTCAGCAGTAATGAATAATATGAATTAAGTAAAAAAAAAAAGCCTTGTTCCTTATTCTTTGTTTTACACAATTTTTAAATAATTTGGACTGAGGGATTTAACTTTTTAAAAGTTTTTCTGTTTTGCATATATTGCATGTATATTGAACAATTGTTGTTGTTGTTGTTTAGTCGTTAAGTCGTGTCCGACTCTTCGTGACCCCATGAA